TTCTTCAGATTTCCAGTTAGAGCAGACTTCTATAGTTTGGTCTGAGGTCTCAAAATTAAAAACACTTGCTCCATTTTCTGTCTTGGTTCTCCCCCTGGGTAGAAAGGACTTCAGCTGAAATACAAGGTAAAGACACTGGTGTGGAAAGACAAAAAAAACCTGCAGTGAAGGGAGCTGGTGAAATCTCATGGCACAGCAAGGACAACCAGTAAGCTTTGTTCTTATCCCAGGACTTCTTCCCTGAGAGGATCCGACAAGATAAACATGAACCCTATGAGGCATGCTTCTCTCCTCCCACCTTCCTTCCCAATCATCCACTAGAAGGTCTTTTGCTTTGTGGTTGACACAACAAGGATTCCCCACACTACATCTTGTTCCAGTAGGACTGAAGGAAGATCAACAGAAACACAAACAGATTTCTTTAAAACACACTCCAATCTCTCTTGTTAGCAAAGTAAGTGGAAGAAATGTGTTCTGCATGCTTGAGCTGAGTAGAAATCACAAAACTATCATGAAAAGTTTTCCAATATTCAACCATAGCAAAATATTATTGACACCTGGAAGGACAATCACATGCCCAAAACAATGGCTACACATTGCAACGGGAAGACAATGTAGACATGAATATGGGCATGCATGTCCCCGGTTGATTCTAGCTCCTGGTGTCCTGCTCTCTTTGGCATCATGGAACCCAAACTTCCAGATGACTAAGATTTTCACTTCTTATGAGAATGTATTGTTCTTGTATACATATAGCTTCAGACTGGATAGAAAATTCTGGTCCATTTGCTACTATGTGTCAGGTCAACAAGATGAGTAGAAAACTACTATAATTAGCTGTGTGGCATTGTTAGTATGTAGAAAGGCCAAAACAAATTGAATGAACCAAACTGAATCTGTCAGACTCAACCAACCATAATCAAAGTGTATTAGGGCTCCTATTAGCACATATCCAGACAGATACATTAATAAAAGAAGTCCCTTCTCTTGACACCTGGCATAAAGGCAAGAATTACAATAAACAGTACTGGAACATATTTACTGGCTTGCAATTTACCTAGAGACAAGATTAGAGCCACAAGATAGAGTCAAAACTGGAAGAAATCACAGCAAATAAGTATCAGTAGGAGTGGAAATAGAGCAGAGAAATAATTCGACCCAAATGGAGAGTGAAGAGAGCATAATGATAGCTTATTTATTAGTAGAAATGAACACATATTGTTACATTGTATTCAGTTCTTGATTATTTATGAGTAATTTACCAATTTTGTGGATTATCCTTCCCCCTGCCAGTCTTTTTACATCTGAGTCATCTCTTGCCATCTTTACTTCATATGTGTCCAAAATAATGTTTACCATTAATCTATGTCAAACTTAATTAGCAAAACAAACCCAATTGGTATGGCTATGGTATACTGATGAAAGAACTCCTTCACCTCTCTAGCTTGAGATCAAATCTGGTAGAAACATTTTCGTTAGTGGGAGAGGTCAGAATGGGAATTGAACTCGATATATTAAGACACTGGTTAGCGAATCCTTGCCTGTTGTCTTTTTACTAAGTAAAATTGATCCAGATATAATCAGGCAACTCTATTAAATGTCATTTGCAGGCAGGAAAATGTACTCATATGATAAGGAAAAACAGAAAAGTCTCTGTCCATGCCCTGTAAAGGCTTAGACTCGGAGTTTTTGACTTGAGTGGATGAGTTCCTAACAGTAAAAAGGAAATCATAAGAATTTGTCCCATGCAATGGGGACAAAAATATCATTTCACAATGGAGATTTAAGCCTCATTTTAGTGGATTATAAGCTTAAGGCAAGAGACTTTTCCTCTTTATACTGCTTCTCTACTTCCTTCAGCATCTAAGCCTTTGCTTGCAAATATAACCTGAAAATCAATATTTACAGTGGCCAAGATCTTGAGTTTACTAATTTAGGTTCAAGTCTTATTATATCATTTACCAACTGGATGATCTTCAGCAAATTACTTGATTTCTCTAAGACTTGGTCTGCTTCCCTAGAAAATGGGTATAATGATACCCACTCCTAGAGATATCATAATGACTAAATAAGCTATTCTCTGTAAAGCGCAAAGCACCATATCTAGCAGAAAATGTGATCAATAAATATAGAGGTAGTATTACTGTCATTATATTAATTACTTGACTGAACTGACTACCCTAGGAATGAGCAAAGTAAATCATAAAAGAAATAGGACTTTGCAGAATTGATTTTTGTAGTTTGAGAGTTGACAGAAGGAAGGAAGGAAGGAAGGAGGGAGGGAGGGAGGGAGGAAGGGACGGAAGGAAGAATGGAAGGGAGGAAGGAAGAGAGAGAAGGAAGGGAGGGAAGGAGGGAGGAAAGAAGGAGGAAAGAAAAGAAGAAAGGATGCATGCACATGTCTACATGTGGGCACCACATAAACCTTAATTAGCAAAGCAATTACATACAGTTTATGTATTTTATTCTTTAGCCCTTTGATTCTTTCTACGTAAGACCAACATTTAATATCAATAGAGTCAAATACCTTTCAGTGGCAGAAACACTGATGTTATGAGCTGTTAACAAACGGAAGAGCAATAAAAAGGGGGGAGTATGACTCTGGTGTTACCGCCTAAGTGACACAGTTATTCAGATAGATGCACAACAAGCCCCGGGTTCCATGGCATCTAGAATCCCCACGGTTTCATTTCCAACCTTTATCAAAGTCCCAGCAACAACACAACCTTAGGTATTCCCAGAATAATCAACTTTGAATCCAGGACCTCAAAGTACAAAGAGAAACTCGAGACCACCCAGAGACTGACCAGTGTGTAGAAACACACAAAACTTAAAAAGGAAGCTGAATATCAAAAACCATGTAGGACCCTAACTCCCAATGATTTGCACTGGTTCTACTTTCTTCAGCCCCAGCTGGGGAGAGGACTTGGATTTGTTAAAATCTTTTCCTTCCTCCCTTTTTCTTCCTTGTCTTTCTCCTTGCTCTCCAAACTAGCCATCTGCCCTGAGCTGCCAAATAGCTACAGGCACGGTCTCCGGGCAAGTAGGACGCCCCGGCACTTCACCCTGTTCGCAGTTCTGCGATTCACGTGACAGTTCCTTCACAGGTGCTCAGACTGTGAATTGAGGAAGAGAACGAGAGCTGTTTAAAATCCCTAAGCCAAAGGAGTTTGTGCAGTGCTTCTAAGAGCCTGCAGGCAGCCGTGCCCTTGCTGATGAGGGGGACATTCCCACGCCCCCAGAAACAGTTGTCCGTCCCCGTCCTTGGAAGACTGGCCTGACCAGTCCCACGGCACTGTTGAGGACAGTGGAAAAGCCTGGAACTGGTGACATTATTAAACATTTTGGTTAGTCACCAAATCAAGTCTTTGCCTCGAAATCTTCATATCCTGTACAGCAGGGTAGACGAGGTCCAACCGAGGGTTTCCTGAAATAATTCATTAAAACAGCCCAGGTCTACAAGGGGGAAGTTATCTTCCTGAACGCTACATGCCGGTTTGGTCCCTAGTGAAGTCAGATTTCGTCCAGTAGCCAACGGGCAGACAGACCTGTGTCCCACGTCCCAGCCCTCCCTTGCAATTCGGGCAGGTTACATATATTTTTCGGTACTACTCCACTGACTTAGATTTCCTGGGCTTTTCACCATTTTGAAGGATAGTATGATATTTACAAATAAGAGAGGCTTTTAACCTTTTATATCACATGCCTAGTACTGGATTTGCAAACGGCTAAATAAACACACAGCCTCTCTCATTGGCTTCTAGCCAATGACGACAACCTGTACTTTCATTGAAATATATGTGTGTCTTTTTAAGAAGTCTTCTGCTTAGTTTAGAAATGAATACTCTACGGAGGAAATGAGAAATGGACTTGAAAGTCAGTAAGTTATTTTTCTCTTTTACATTTAAGTAAAAAATGATGTGATTACTTGGTGATCACAAATACAAGTGAAATGGTTACTGGTCCACCTAATAGGCTTTTTTTCTGCTAATGATACCATCACTTGTCACTCTGAATAATTACATTCAATAGAAATGTTTCTTGATGATTGAGAATATAAGAATCATGTCTCTGTTTTGGGGTAGGTAACTGAATATACGAAGTCTATATTCTGAAGATGTTCTCCTATTTTAGGGTTAAATTAGACACACACATTTTGTTTCTTGTTAGCACTATACAACTGGCAAGGGAAGGAGGTTGTGAAATTCAAATCGGGATGTGTTTTCTCTCTCTCTTTTTTTTTATTCTTATGTTAATCCCCATACATTACATCATTAGTTTTAGATGTAGTGTTCCATGATTCATTGTTTGTGCATAACACCCAGTGCTCCATGCAGAATGTGCCCTCCTCAATACCCATCACCAGGCTAACCCATCCCCCCACCCCCTCCCCTCTAGAACCCTCAGTTTGTTTCTCAGAGTCCAGAGTCTCTCATGGTTTGTCTCCCCCTCCGATTTCCACCCCCTTCATTCTTCCCCTCCTGCTACCTTCTTCTTCTTTTTTTTTTTTTTTCTTAACATATATTGCATTATTTGTTTCAGAGGTACAGATCTGAGATTCAATAGTCTTGTACAATTCCGGGATGTGTTTTCTCTTGCTAGCAGCTATGGTAAAGCTCTGAGGGAAAAAGAATTAAACAAAAGAGCTTTTAAAAAAATTTAAAAGTTTGGGTTTCCTTTATGGTGAGTGAATTGTTGAGTTGTAGATAAATTTGTTAACCTCCCTGATAACATGTAAAGAAACTTTGACCACACAGTGTATGCAGGGGATTTTTTAAATGGTGAAAGCTCATAGACTGTACCCTTCACTTCAACTCAAGAAACACACGTGGAGTGTTCATAAGATATCAGGTATCCTGCTAAGCCCCTGCAATACATGCCTGATAATCACAGAAATTAAATGAAAAATCATTTTCCAAACTGAATGGCCAAATTAGGTGTTATGTATTCATGGAAGAAGTCAGGAGAGAGAAAGAAGAAACTAATATGTTCACACATACCTCAGTGGTGATTCAAAATTCAGATTAATATCTACATCCTTTCTTGAAAAGAGCTGTGCTAAGATTAGGCATTAAGTCCTGGACAACGTGCAGAAGCTTATATGCTTAAGTCTTTCTAGCTTTCTTCTTCATTTTGTTTTGAACGGGGAGCGAAATGACGGTGTAAGTGGTTTCTAAAGATTTCCTTAGTTAAAGCTGGTTTGATTCTCACTTAAATGAAACAAGGTGGTTAAGGATCAAAGTGGCCTCATTCATCAATAGGCACTGAAGAATCAATATTTTGCTTGTCTGTTCGGCTCAAATTCCTTGATCATAATCTTTTACAAAGCTAAGCAGGGCGGAAGCTGTTCACCATTAACACCATCAGTTACACCAACTCAGGTCCGTACGTCCAACTCAGGTCTACTTCCATTTCTGTAGATTGATTTGTCAGCAGCGCAAAGGTCCTGGCCCACAGTCTCTCATATATGTGTTCAACAGAGTTGCACCTGTTCTGGCTGTGTGGTTTGGGTTTACCACCGAGTCAGCCGTTGCTAATAGGATGGGAAAAGCAGTCACTCCAGAGAACAAGTAAGGAATTTTGCAACACCACTCAATACATGCCTTTATTCTATTACTTATAAAACAGGTTTCTTAATCCTTACTTGCAAGAAAAATTCTTCTTAAATTTTTATTTTATTATAAGATATTCCAGTAGATTCTCTTGGAGTGCTGCGAGAACATTCGTGGGTGATTTTCACTGTGGATTTCAAACATCAAACTGAGCTATTGAAAAGAGGCCCTGGGTTGTTTTTTGTTTCTAAAATGTTATACAAGAGGGGAATCTGGGTGGCTCAGTCAGTTAAGCCTCTGCCTTCAGCTCAGGTCATGATCTCAGGGTCCTGGACTCAGCCCTGCATCGGGCTCTCTGCTCAGTGGGGAGTCTGCTTCTCTCTGTCCCTCTTCTGCCCCACTCCCAGGCTTGTGCTTTCTCTGTCACATAAATAAATAAAATCTTTTTTAAAAACTGCTATACAACAGCTTCAAATGAACAGGATATGAGAGTGAAAAATTCGTTTTTCTTAATTCGAAACAGCAGTGAACCTAATTTATGAATTTTTTTCTCAATTAAAAAAAACAACAAATGGGAAGCTTAACATTGAATTAAGGAGTCTTCAGGATTAGCAGGTATACAAGGCCAGATTTATAGGAGCCAATGGGCTGATAACTATATTTTAGGTCTAGAAAACATCTGCTCAGAGTAAGTAGTTTATGGTTTCCACATCAAATAAAAGGAAAAAAGCACCACACTGATCTAAGGTTTTGGTACGCTTTTTTTTTTTAACCAAAAATAATGCAAATCCTATAATAGGGGACTTGTACGCTTTGTTAATATGTTCTACTAAAATAAAGGGGATACAGAAATTGCTTCATGAGGAAATGATAAAGTAAGTGAATACCAGGGTTTTCCATCGAAAATTCATAAGCATATGCTTGGAGTTGAGGGGGAGGACTAATTAAATATAATATTCAATTAATCTATAAAAGACAATTTCTCTCCATGTAAATCTACAGATTATATGAGTTTCCTCAACCACCTCAACCCAGTAATCCAAAACAGTGAAATGCAATTCCTGGAAATACTCAGAATTAGACATGCCATAGATAGTAACACAGATACAGAGAAATTTTGCACAAACATGCAACAACCTTGGTAATGAACTCATTTCTTAAACCCCAGTTCTAATTATATGAAGCCAGGAATTGGCTGTTGTCCAGTGAATTTGAACTGTGGACACTGACCAAATTGTTTGACGTTCTACTCCCATCCCTTCTATTTTCGGTCCATATTTTCCCTCCATGGTGACTTTTTGGTTGTGTTTTATCTGGTTTTGGCTGTCTCTACTGCCCACTTCAGATAATTGCTCAACTCCACTTGGCTTCTTGCTGGGTAGGCTTGACCTAAGAAAATGGATGAAGAAAGAGCCAGCATTTTCCTTTGATCTCTTAGAACTCAGGATTCCATTATATAATCTACCATAAATCCTGGCAGTAGAGATTGACATCAACTTCCAAATTTGCCATAATATGACACTCCTAGTTGATTCATTATGTATTCTGACATTTCTTAATTCACATGAACTCAGTACTTCAGTGTGTCAGTGATAAGACATTTTTCTTAGTTGCCTTCTCAATATTTTTACAGATTGCCTTGATTAATTTTTCTCTTCTGCAATGTAAGCCTCATATGCCAAATGTTCTAACTGGCTAACTGCCTCTAAGGTTTAAGCTCACAGATGTTTCCCTGGGGCCACAGCAAATGCTACTCCCCTGAGAATAAGTCTGATAAATAAAATTGGCAATAAATTTAGAACTAAAGGGTTGGATAAGAAAATCAAGTGCAGCCCTCATTAGCTCCACTTTTGTAAATCTACAAACTTGTCTAATGTACTCAATCCTCAAATATCGATGGTAGTAGATTCTAGGAATCCCATCAACAAATTAAAGCCTTAAACAATCCAAAAACCTCCTTCTATTTAACGGTATAAATCCCTTTCCCACTGAACATATTACCACAGTTGCTAACAAGTAGAAAATTGGCACATTTAAATCTCGTTTCTATTCCAAGTGCTGAGGGAGGAGTAAAATGGATAGAATCCAGATGGTGTGAAGAAAGTAAAGCAAGGGCCCTGCGTAGTCTGAATGTGAGTAATTTGTGAATTGGTCTGAATGATTAATATTCAACATTAATATTCCTTAGGCAACATGAATGCCATAAGCGGGAAACCTTTGCTTTCTACTTTTTCCTTTCCTAGAAAACATTTTTCTATGAGTCTTTTCCTTCACAAAGTAGATTTGAAGTACCTCTTTGCTTGATTTGTGAAGCCTCAATGACATGGAGGTATAAACAACAAACCAAAATGAACAATGTTCTTCATGCTGAATATTATGATATCATCTTCTCCCTGTATTTCTGGGCTTGAAATGCAACGCCCAGGCATTGCCCACCATGGAACATTCTCAGAAGTGTAGTATCATCACTTGAGATTTATTGTAACTGAAATTAAATTACCTAGTGTGCTTGGACTTTCCCCCCACCCCACACCCCAGTGAGTCTGCTTTTTTTTTTTTTTAATTGATGTCCTTGCCTTTTATTCCTATTATTAAAGGAGGAAAATAGAAAACACAATCTGCTCCCTTCCCTCTACCCTCGAGGCACTGGATTCAGCTCCCCCATTCCCATGAGCAGAAAGCAATTTAGGCAGCCACAAGAGACATCACGGTCTTCTTCTCCAACTCAAGTCCTAAATCAATGGAATGATGACATGTCTTTATTTTATTTTCAGCATAGATGCCTGTGTGTTTGATTGTTCTTATGATAGAATCTCAACTCGTTCTAAATGGAGATTGCTGAAAGCAAGAAATATAGAATCATAAAATGGTCTGTGCATGGGAACCATACAGCTCCCCACATCCAGTGCCTTCATTTAATTGGTGAGGAAATGGGGTCTCAGAATTGAAAGACTTGTTCAAACAAAGCTGGTGGCATCACATCTCCTGATTTCAAAATTTATTATGGAGCTACAATAATCAAAACAGTAAGGTGTTGGCCTAGACAGGCGTATAGAACAGTGGAACGGAGTAGAGAGCCCTAAATAAGTCCACACATATACAGTCAATTGAGCTTCAACGGTGGTGTCAAGAATACACAGTGGGAAAAGAAGAATCCCTTCAACAAATGGCGTTGAGAAAACTAGATAGTTCCATGTAAAAGAGCAAACTTTGATGTCCTCTTACACCACACACCAAAAACAATTCCAAATGGATCAAAGACTTAAAGGTAAGACCTGAAACTATATAACTCCTAGAAGAAAAAATAGAAGACAAGCTTCATGACATTGGACTTGGCAATGATTTCATGTATATGAGCAAAGGCACAGGCAACAGCAACAACAAAAAATAAAAATTAAAAACATAAGCAAGACTACACTAAACTAAAAAGCATCTGCACAGCAAAAAATAATCAATAGAATGAAAAGACGACCAGATAACCTACAGGGTGGGAGAAAATATTTGCATACTATCTATACAATAAGGGGTTAATGTCCAAAACACATAAGGAACTCTACAACTCAATAACATAAAAACTAATAATCTGATTAAAAACGTGCTACGGACTCGACATTTTTCCAAAGAAGACATACAAATGGCCATCTGGTATATAAAAAAGTGCTCATCATCACTAATCATTAGAGAAATGCAAATCAAAACCACAGTGAGATATCACCTCATATCTGTCAGGATGGCTATCACCAAAAAAACAAAAGACAAGTATTGGTGAGGTTGTGAAGAAATTTGAATCCTTGCACACTGTGAGAATGCAAAATGCTGTAACCACTATGGAGGTTCTTCAAAAAATTAAAAATAGAACTACTAGGAGGTGCCTGGGTGGCTCAGTTAATTAAGCATCCAACTCTTGTTTTCAGCTCAGGTCATGATCTCAGGTTTGTGAGATGGAGCCCCAAGTCGGGCTCCGCACTGAGCGTGGAGCCTGCTTAAGATTCTCTCTCTCCCTCTCCCTTTGCCCCTCCCTGCGCCCCCCCCCCCCGGTACTCTATCTCTTTCTCTCTCTAAAAAAAAAAAAAAGATAATAATAATAATAAATGGAACTACCAGATGATCCAGCAGTCCCATTTCTGGGTATATATCCAAAAGAATTGAAATCAGGATATGGAAGAGCTATTAGCATACCCATGTTCCTTGCAACCCCATTCAAAATAGTCTGTTTAATGTGAAAACAACCTCAATGTCTACCAACAGATGAGCTGATCAAGAAAAAGTGGTATATACACACAATGGAATACCAGGTAGCCTTAAAAAAGGACATTCTGCAGCATGCAACATTTATGTACCTTAAGGACTATCATGCTAAGTGAAATAAGCCAGACACACAAAAGCAAGTATTGCATGATTCCACTTCTATAAAGTATCTAAAATAGTCAAATGCCTAAAATCAAAGACTGACATGGTGGTTACCAAGGGCGGGGGGGAGGGGGGTTATTATACAATAGATGTAAAGTTTCAGTTAAGTAAGATGAATAAGCTCTAGAGATCTGCTGTACAACATTGGACCTAGAGTCAACAGTAATGTATTATACACTTAAAATTAGTTAAGGGGATAGATCCTATGTTAACAGTTCTCACCACAATAAACTTTTTAAAAAAGAATCATTCAGGGCGCCTGGGTGGCTCAGTCGTTAAGCGTCTGCCTTCGGCTCAGGTCATGGTCCCAGGGTCCTGGGATCGAGCCCCGCATCAGGCTCCCTGCTCGGCGATAAGCCTGCTTCTCCTTCTCCCCACTCCCCCTGCTTATGTTCCCTCTCTCGCTGTGTCTCTCTCTGTCAAATAAATACATTAAAAAAAAAAAGACTCATTCAGTACCCAATGTAAAGTACCAAAATAATAACTAGAAACAAACTAAAATAATTTTAATCAAGTCTAATAGAAATATGAACAATTTTCTTCTAAATCTATATCTTGTCCAAATAAAATAATTTTGCTATAAAAGTATTCCAAGTTAATAGCATTTTACACATATATGAAGTGTGTTACTTTTCAAAGTTCTATCACGTAACCTACATTATATCACCAATAGGATCTTTGATAGGAGTTTGGTAGTTATCATGCCCATTTTACAGTTGGGAAAACAGAGCACTGAGCTTGCAAGTCGTGTACTAAGGTCACTCAGCATACTGGTGGCAGAGTAATATATTTTGACCCCCAACCTTCTTTCTCCACTAGTCACTTTTGGAACAAAATCTTCCTTACAACCATAAACAATCATGATTTCAGAAAACACATCCAAAAAGATTGTTTAAACTGTATTACACATCTCTTGAGGTTTTCCAATCACCTCCAAACTGATGTACTCACACTTTGTCTGAAAACATCTATCTACATAATATTTCCCTAAGCTTAAGTTTGTATCTCCATTCCAGCCTTACCCGAAAATCTTTAAAAACTGCACTATCAAGTCCAAAGATGTGGCTTTTACATCTCCATTCCTAGATCACCTCACACCACCTCCCAGCATGCTTCTCACCTGTGTTCCTACAAGCTGGTGAATGATTCCCCAAAACCTTCTCCTCATGCCTTTGCTTATGCTCTTCCCTTTCCTTACATCTTTCTGCGTAAACATCACCCATTCTGTAAGCTCATGGACAGATGTCTACATGAGACTTCCTATATGAAACCATCCTTCACCACCCCCCGCTCCCTGTCACTGCCCGCCCCCGCCCACCTCAACCAGAAATAATTTCCCCTCTTTGGCTTTCACACCTCGGTGCTTATCACTCTCAAAGCACTCGGCACATTCTACTCCACTGCCTTACATTCTGGAACATTATGGTCTAGGGTGCACCTTACACTTATGATGTAATAGTCCTATGTCGTATTATGTGTTACTGACCGTAACCGATAGTTAATGTCAAAGAACCTGCCAGGCCCCACCACACACAACAGTTGTGTCCCAAGCCCCTGGTAGATCCCAACACTTCCCGAGCCGCAGGAGTGCAAGTCTGAATAAAAACCCCATGTTTGCACTTGAGGCACTTTGGGTTTGTGTAGGAGCAGAAACTCTGGGACAGACCTTAGTAAACTACAACAGGGCACTAAAATATTACCTCTTCCTTAAATAAAACAGGAAAAGAATTTTACAGAGTGTGTCACGTTAAACTACACTGGATTCTGAGTAACCCTAATCTCTAAATATATTTTCGTATAAACTTGACGTAAGTAGGATTTTCAAAAATCCAGATCAAAAATAAATGTATATCTGTATTGTCACATAGTTTTAAAGGGAAATATATTTAAATAGATTATCTTTATTAAATACCTTTCTGTACATGGTTTTAAGAAAATGAATCTTAACAAATGACTGGCTATGGTGAATAAAAATGAGAGTACAAAAGATTAATGTTTTCTGTGAGATAAACTCAAATTTTCTTTGGATTTCCTGGTGTCCTTATCAAAATTCTGAAAGGAAACACCCCAATGAGATCATTTCTAGGGACCTCAGAGGGAAGAAACATCTCAGAAATGCAGATTGCCTACTTGTAAAAGGGTTTTGTGGGCTTCCTCTGAACCATCCTACGGGAAGAGGTAGGTTTAGAGGGGTCAGCTAGCTGCTGGCCATGTGATAAGAGAACAGTTTGATGAGATCTGAGGAAAAAGAAATGCCAAAAACCCAGTGGTAACATACTATCCCAGCAAAGGGAAGGAACGCTACACTTTTCATCTTCCCCAGAATTGTCATTTTGGTATGGCCTGTCTCTTCCCCCTTGTGATCGGCAGTAACCCACAAAGGGCCCAGTATTGTTTTCCAGGCAGCAAGAAAGGGGCTGTGCCTCATTTGTATCCATTCTTAGTGGGAAACCCCAAAGAACTGACAGTTAGAGACAGCCATAAACAGGAGAGTGAAGTCAGATTAAGCTCGTGAAGGCTGGGGTTAGGAAAATGGAGCTCCAGGTGTACGACGAGTACAAATCCTTGTGGCTTTTAGAATAGAAAGGTTAGGGCAGCTTCTAGCCACTTGTCTACTCAAAGAAGTCAGAGAGCACCTGGAAGACTCCAGGGAAGTCCCAAGAGGAGGATTACTCAGAGAAGTAACGTGCTGGCTCTTGAAGTCACTCTCCCTCCAGAACCCCACCCATCCTGCCTGCCATATTCACCAGCTTGGCCACGCATACTTCCACCATGTGCACACCCTTGGTTCTGTAGGACATATGTGACCTGTCTCTCATAGCATTTCATAGCACCCCACCAGAGCTATTCTCATTCACTTAGTGACAAGATTTTACATGTAACTAAGAATTTCTATGTTCCATTTAAAAACATATTTTACAAAACTGAACTTTTTACAAAGCATTATTTAATCAAACCTCATCGATAGCCATAAAACTTCCATAAGTCAGATTCATTATTCTCCTTTTACAGGCGAAGATACTGCAGCATGGAGGAGGTGTACTATTATCTCTTGCCAGCCCCAGAAGCTCACCTCGCTTCTCCAAGGCAAGGACCCCATGGACCAAAAACCCTAGAGAATAACACTGTATCAAGTAATGGCTGAGAGCATGGGTTTTGCAAAAGCTTATCTTCAAGTCTTAGGACCGTCACTTACAAAGCTAACGCTGGACACAACACCTAACTTGGCAAAGCCTGCATTTCCTCGTTTATAAACTTGGAGTCATAATATTGTTTATCATCTGGCGTTGTTGTAAGGATTAAATGCGGTAATCCCTATAAAAAGTATTACACAAAGTTAAGGGCTCCCTAAACCTCAGGTGCTAACATAATTGCTATTATTACCACCCCATGGGCACTAAGTTCGTTGTTAGGGAGCTGTTGAGTGACAGACCAACCCAAGTCTTGGTCATTACATTGAATTAGAAGTTAGCATACGTGGGGCACCTGGGCAGCTCAGTGGGTTGAGTGTCCTACTCTTGGTTTTGGCTCAGGTCATGACCTCATGAGTCATGGGATCGAGTCCTGCATCGAGCCCTGTGTCGGGCCCGAGTGGGGCCCCGTGCTCAGCACAGAGTCTGCTTGAGATTCTCTATTTCTGCCTCTCCTGCTGCTCATGCTTTCTCTCTCTCTCTCTTTCAAGTAAATAAATAAAATCTTTAAAAAAACAAAACAAGAAGTTAGCATACAACTCTACATGTGAACAGACTCGGGCCTAGTCCAACAACCAAGCAAAATGCTTCTTTTGATATCAAAACAAATGAGAAGCATTTGAAACAAGTTTTTACATACTTATCTCAGCAAGAGTTTGCCCATTTCGTTGCTCCTCTCATCACAGAGAGACATCCTTAGAGACACAAAGGTAAGGAAGAACGGAGGGAGGGATGTTGGAGGTGTCTGCGCTGCTCTTCCAACACCTGTGCTCATCATGAAAGCAGTGGCATTTCTACAGGTGGTACACTCAGCTGGCTGGATTTATTGCCCCTTTTTTTTTTCAGATCAAGTTCCCAGTTACCACCAGATGGGATACAAATTCCTAGCAGCTATGGTGCCGACCATGAGTGTGGTCATTCATTCCACCAACACTTATTACCAGGCAGTGTACTATGCTTGCAATAAAAATGACTTTGTCGGGGTACCAGGGTGGCTCAGTCGGTTAGGCCTCCCACTCTTGATTTCAGCTCAGGTCCTGATCCCAGGGTTGTGAGGTCGAGGCTCAGCAGGGAGTCTGCTTCTCTCCCTCTCCCTCTGCCCCTTCTCCACCTCCTGCATGTGCGCTCTCATGCTTTCTCTCATTCTCTCTCTCTAAAATAAATAAATAATTTTTTAAATGACTCTGTCATATTGAGTTTCTAACACCTGAAAAATACAAGCGGTTTACTGAGTGGCTTCACCTCACTTATTCCATACAATTATATCCAGTAGCTACTCTTATTTTCCTGGCTTCACAGGTGAGGCATTTGAGACCAGCGATGAACCCTATAGGTTGGGGAGCGGGGGGGGAGGGGGAGAGGGGGGCAGGGCACACTATGGCTTGGACTCCGACATCTCCTGGAGATTTGAACTGAACTAATGTCTGCATCCTCACCAAAGAGTTACTGCTATGGAAGACCCAAGCAGAAGTATAAGCTTTCTAGCAAAATATTTTTATGGATGAATAGCCAGTGCAAGCCTCTTCATCCTCAAAAAGAGTCACATGCTTCCAGGGAGAAAAATTATGCTTCTTAGAAAGAGCCATAAAAGTCATTGATGTGCAAGATTTTGCTGTTGTCCAGTGGGAATGAACCAGAGGAAGTCTACTGAGATGCTGCCCGGAAGGCACACTCACCATCATCATCATCACCATCATCAAAAGCCATATGTAAAGGACCTGCCTTTAAAAATAGCACTTTATTACACCTGCTGTAGGGAGCTTCATAGGTGGTTAACTACAGACAACAGCCCTGATAAGGATGGGTGGGCAGGACCACATCTCAACCGACATCAATAAAACACATGCTATGACTGTTTCATGATGTGGCTGGTCTACTCAGAGCTGGTCACTCTCATTCTTGGCTACTTTTCTTTATAGCCAATCTGCTACCATGGAGCAGAACTGTTCACTGTTCAAAGCAAACTGAAGCCCAACCACCCGGCCCTAAGCCCGAGAGTTTGCTCTGACCAACCGGGCTGAACAAATATAGACAAACACTCCAAGAACCCACAGATAACTATGCAAAAATGTTTAGCAGACACCCAGTATGAATATTTATACTGTATAGAGGTTAAAGTCAGTGTTGGGGAGAAGGTGGAGGTAGCTAGCTCTAAATCCTAAACTGAATGAAAAGTCAGAGTTAATCTAAATGAAAGATTATTTTTTTGACTATTCTTGCAGCAAGTTCAAGACGCATGAGCTTTATCCCTTTCCTTGAGTGTCAAGAGCAATAAAACAAAACAAATACTTGCAAGGGTCTAAGAAAAATACCCTGGTGGTAAATATGACCTTCTATTTATAATCAAGATTTTGCGCTTCTTCCCTACATGTTATGTCTCTGATACCTACAGTTTTTTATTCCTAATTTCTTTGAAAATCTAACAACCTCTACAGCATCGCCTCTAATCTCTGGAGTATTATAGCCATGCATGTCAAAGCCTAGTGGGCAATCTTCATAAGCTAGTCACAAAATGGGAGCAAACATTTGCTTCTGAGAAATTAGGAAGGAATTATATAGAGCAAAAATGGGCTCTGAACCCTTGGTCTCAGAAGTTCCCATCCAGTTTCATTTCTTTTGGCTTTCTAAGATCAAATTCAAACACGTCTATCTCATAGTCATAATTTCACTCTCAACATTAACATATATCATATATAACATTAATATATATCACATTCAAAACCAGATGACTCTCCCAGCAACCTCGTGTGTGGAGTTGCTGGGCAAGCCTATTAGATCTGGCCCATAGCACCAACAGAAATTTGGACAGGAATCAGTGGGATGATCCCAAGTCCTGATAAAGCCCAACCCTTATTTAAAAAAAAAAAAAAAAAAAAGGTCACATTGGCTTCTACGAGCATGTCCGAGAGAACAAAAGCTGGTTACCCTCTTGACAGAGCATGAAACTTACAACTCAACACACATTTCCTGAAACGTGTGGCATTCCTCTAACCAAAATGAAAGTATCCTGCCCTGTCTTTTGTGACTGCCACATCATTATTCAAGTAGCCCGGTGCCACATTGTGGGGGGCACCTAACGTACACACCATCCAGCTGCAGAAAAATGACCGCTAGTTTTTTTCACGTGAGAGCAAACTGAGGCCGCAGGACTCAAAAAGAACTTGTCTAACTAAAATCACAGGGCAATTTAAAGACCGGCTGTCTCACTTTTGTTTTACTAGACTGCATAGCTTTTCAGAAAATTGGACTGCCTTCGGGAAACAAATACTGGCTTGTTCAGACTACCTCGTTCAAACTCAACGTAAGTTACGCCACCAAAGATTAAGCAAACAGGTAGTACGTTCATACTAGCCTGTGAAGCGTCCAATTAATAACTAACATTCCAACACATTTCAACAATACAGTACCTCCTAGCGAGCGCTGGATCCAACAAGTATACGTTATATCTGAGGCAGGCAGACAGCCTGTCAGCGCTGTGCTGAGAAAAGGGTGGTTGTGTTGCCCTCTGACTCAGCTGAATATTATTCCAAAAGTGAGTTTCCACTTTGTACCAAGTTTAGATTCAACATTTTAATGTCGCCGTAAGTGCTTGCCAGCAACTTTGCAAAATATCCCTGGAGCATTAAGAGAAAAATGAACATCTTTTAACATGAGAGGGAAGCTCTGAAGTTACATCATGCTGGTAAATAGCACATAGAGCAAAAAGGAAAAACTTACGTTGAGAAAAAGAAATAGGAGTACCTACTTGAGGAGAAGAATGTCACTCAAAGACTGTTTTCTTTTGGTACAGAATGGGCAAGAGAAAGGAAGACTAACCTTCCGAACCCGTTAAGGAGCTTCTGAGCATGGAGACTGCATTTTCAGTTTTGGTGAAATCCGTTCTGAGGCAGGAGACAGGAGGCTGTTATGACCATGAAATTAGGAAATGCAGCAACTCAAAACTAAAGAACTAGCACCACCATTTGACTAGGAGTGGAAAATCTGCACAAAATAGAGGAGGGGGTGGCCTTGCTTTCTCCACACGAGGCCTGATTCTAACTTTCTTAGCCCTTCGGTCAGGACAGACGTTCAACAAGGGGTAAGTAATTTGTTAATCTGCCTGAAAATGTTTTATGTAACCCAGCTGATTTTCTCTTCACTGCTAATAAAGTTTGAAATCTAGGCAGGCATGTCGAGTTGGAAAAAAAAAAAAATAAAGCATTCATTCAGCACATAAATTTTGCTAATCCAAAATTAGTTACAGCTAAGAGCAGGACTGAGGACATGTCTTCTGTGAGCGTTTCTGTAACTTTCTCGTTCAGCCATTGACTCAACAACCGGCTCTGCATTTCTTGTCACTGATTAATTAGGTTCCTGACTTCACTAACCTGCAGACGCTTAGCTTAGTTCCCTCCAACTCCTAGGCCGTTCTTTCTGTTATCTGATCTTTCCATAAACTGTCTGGCATTTCCTGCAGCCAGTTAAGAGTTCATGCAGTGTTTTGTCTTATTTACACGGACATAAACATTCTGAAGTAGAAAATGTGCTAAGTGATATTGAAATTAAGGAAATAATATTAAAAATGTTAATAGCTTACAAAGTCAGCTGTGCTTTACAGAGTATGTATTTTAAAAGATTGTTTTTTAACATACTGGATTTGTCTACTCTTCAAGACTTAGGAGAGGCTGGTTTTCTGGAAGTGAGAATGGTAGAGGAGAAGGTGAAGGCGTCTATCTTGCTCCTGGGCTTTCTAGAATCTCTAAGTGCAGGTTGACATCTTTAGGGCAGGAGATGCAGCCCTAAACAGTCTTAGGGAAGACAGAAAATCAAAATTTTCATAATCAACGCTTTAAAACCTATTGAAATAAAGGATCTTAACTATTTCCCATCTTCCTTATACATGTGAGTTAGTCCGTAAAATAATTTGAATATGCAAATTTGCCTGAGATTAATTTCTGCAGAATACGTAGAAGACGGCATATTTTAGCAAACATGTACAGTATTTAATTTTGATTTAAGAAACAAAATTTCAACAAGATTCACTTACAGGAAGAACAATCACATATATTAATGCAATATTGGGGTTTTATTAGCTTTTTATTATTTTTATTATGGTTTCTGGCAAAAGATAAATTCTTTAATAAGATGTTTTGAACAGTTTAAACATCTTGAAAGTAAAATATTTTTGTCTAAACTAATTAAATCCTTCAATTAGTTTGTCAGAATGAACTATGCTTTTCAAACACCATTTAGCTACCTGTTAAAATCCTTTGTACATATCAATACAGAAAAGAAAATCACTTAGAGCAACAGTTCTCAAAATAGAACATCTGTTGGATTCTGAACTGAAGGTTATAGATCAGTTTCTTTTCATTAGAAAATATAAATGTATAACATAAAATTCCTATAAAATTTACATTAGATTAGTTATCCTTAAAAGACCATTGTTGACATTCATTTGCATTCCAGTATGTGCTTTCTCAAGGGGGGTGCGGGGAGAATAATAATAATAGCAAATGTCTTCGGAACAAAAACTAGAAGTCAGATACTGTTTTAAGCAATTTTACAATTTACAAACCAGTGAGGTAAGTACTACCGCAACCCCATTTTACAGAGGAGGAAACCATGGGATGCCGAGATTAAGCATCTGTACCAAGAAGTTATAGCTGAAATCAAAGTTCAAACTCAGGACAAAAGCACCCAAGTTTTGTTGTTATTGTTGTTGTTGTTAAGATTTTATTTATTTATTTGACAGAGAGAGACACAGCGAGAGAAGGAACACAAGCAGAGGGAGCGAGAGAGGGAAAGCAGGCTTCCCTCGGAGCAGGGAGCCTGATGCAGGGCTCGATCCCAGGAACCTCGGATCATGACCTGAGTTGAAGGCAGACACTCAACGACTGAGCCACCCAGGCGCCCAGCACCCAAGTTTTTAACACCCCCCCTGCAGAATCAAAACCACACTAGGGAACACACATGTTTTCTATGTGTCACGGGGAGAAAATGTGGAGAGGTTATCAGTGAATGGCTAAGAAAAATTTCTATAGATTGATATAGAGATGTTATTATGAATCATCTTAAAGTTTATCATTCTATTGAGCTCGCTAAAAAATTAAAACGTAGGCTCAGACTAACATTGTTTTAAAATATTCTGTGCTTTCGGGGCGCCTGGGTGGCTCAGTTGGTTAAGCGACTGCCTTCGGCTCAGGTCGTGATCCTGGAGTCCCGGAATCGAGTCCCGCATTGGTCTCCCTGCTTGGCGGGGAGCCTGCTTCTCCCTCTGACCCTCCCCCCTCTCATGTGCTCTCTGTCTCTCTCTGTCTCAAATAAATAAATAAAATCTTTAAAAAAAAAATATTCTGTGCTTTCTTATAGGAAAAAATCTCTTTTGAGGAAAATTTTCTAATTAAATTGTATTCACTGTTATTAGATTAAACTGAATAATGGGGGAACAAAAGAAGAAAAGAACAATTTAAGTAAAGCAGTATAATGTTATTCTAGAAATCTTTCTAGGTTGCAACCTTTTTTTAATACGTTCTCTCATTCCAGAAGTAGCCACTAACAGCCTGGTCTCCACAAGCAAAGTAAAGCAGAAAATTGATCAAGCAAAATCCTGCTGTGACCCAGGTGATTCGGATTAAAATGAAAATCAGGTTTTTGATATGGAGTGTGTGTTTTTGTCTAACACTCCAGATGACAGTGGGCTCAACTGGGACTCGGTAACATAGATAATGGCCCATATTCTTCACTTGTCCTCATTAGCAAAGATTTTTCTATTGGGCACTGCTTTAAACACTATCCGGATTCCATCACACTTTACAAGCAGCTCTGAACTTCTGGTTTTCCTTATGAAGAGCAACCAAAATTGAAATTCTGCTTGCCTTGATATACCAGTCAGCACCTGAGCATCCATTTACTCATCTTTCTAAGGGAAATTGCCCAGCCCCTCCCCTGTCCTGTTTCTGATCCAACTCGGATCATGACCTGAGTTGAAGGCAGACACTCAACGACTGAGCCACCCAGGCGCCCAGCACCCAAGTTTTTAACACCCCCCTGCAGAATCAAAACCACACTAGGGAACACACATGTTTTCTATATGTCACAGGGAGAAAATGTGGAGAGGTTATCAGTGAATGGCTAAGAAAATTTTCTATAGATTGATATAGAGATGTTACTATGAATCATCTTAAAGTTTATCATTCTATTGAGCTTACTAAAATGTGAGCTTGGTGACAACCGCTCGCTAAAAAAGACTTGGTGACAACCAAGTCACATCAGGATGATCCTCAGACCCCACTTCAGGACACAGCTAATTGGACCAGGGATAGGAAACTAACCAAGACACACAGTGACCAAAGCCATGAACTAATGTGAAAAGATGAACTTGACCAATCACATTCTAGCTCTCTGGAGTATGAATTCTGAAAACCTAGACTGAACTAGTGAGGCACACAGGCAAGAAGGATGTCTTGGGGTGGACCGGAGACCATAGTAAGCAAAGGCTCTTTCGCAAGTAAAGTTTATGCAGGCAAAGAGAAACCCAGTGAGCCAAAGTGAACAAATAGGGGCCCTGAGCCCCTGAGCACACGGCAGGGTCTGGCTACGGCTGCCCTATCCACTATGCTGGTGGGGTCGTGGACGGCACACAGATTCTCCGCTAACCCTTATTACCAGATACTCAGGGGAGTCTCTGTTCCTTCCTGTCAAGAGTATAACTAAAACACTCATCCTGGATCACAGCTGCTAGTTTGTGTAGCAGAAGGCACAAAATCCAGCAGTCCTGTTTGCAGTGTACAGGTCCCAGATATTTGAAAACAGACTCTTCATATGACCAATGACTGACGACTCTTTCTACTGTCATTTGCTCAACATTGATGCCCTGTAGTTGAAGTTCATGGGGATAAAGATAGTCTCTCTCTCAAAAAAAAAAAAAAGACTATCTTTGTTCAGGTAACAAAGTCAGGCAATTAAACCTTACACATCATCTTTAGAAAGCCTTTTAAAACTTGCCTTCATGGAAAAATAAAATAAGATAAAAACAGAGAGGGAGGCAAACCATAAGAGACTCTTAATCATAGGAAACAAACTGAGGGTTGCTGGAGGGGATGGGGGTGGGGAAGATGGGGTAGCTGGGTGATGGGCATTAAGGAGGGCACCTGATGTAATGAGCACTGGGTGTTATACCAACTGATGAATCACTAAATTCTACCCCTGAAACTAATAATAATGAATATAAATTTTAAAAGTTTTCAACAAACCTGCCTTCAAAAATCACATGCTTCTTCTTTATATACAAAAAGATATATATAAAGCCTCAAACATCCCATGTGAAGAAATAATTATTGAAAAAATTCTACTAGGAGAATAAAAGGGCTTTCATATTTATCAAGGTGACAAAAGAAATAACATCTGAAGAATGCAATGATTTCAAATGGAAAAGCTATTCCCTCTGCTGACCCTTCTTACTCCCCCAAAACCTTGCCTCTTGGGTTTTCCTTCTCCCCAAATACCAGTTTCTAACTACCACCTGACCACATCAGTCTCAGTAGCCAGACAGATCCACAAATTCACATACTCCTCCTCAGAAAGAAGCAGTCTCAGCTAGGATTCAGAGAGGGGTAGCCCTTCCAATAGTTTATTTTCATCAACTACTATAATATACTTCTAAGGAGAAAAGAGAACTCCACAGATTTCATCCAAGTTCAAGGAGCCAGTGCCAGAGAAAAATGATTTTTAAGTACGGCTCAGAATTCATCACTAAGGGGCGCCTGGGTGGCTCAGATGGTTAAGCGTCTGCCTTCGGCTCAGGTCATGATCCCAGGGTCCTGGAATAGAGCCCCATATCGGGCTCCCTGCTCAGTGGGGAGTCTGCTTCTCCCTCTCCCTCTGCCTCTCTCCCTGCTCATGCTCTCTCTCTCTCTCTATCTCTGTGTCTCAAATGAATAAATAAAATCTTTTTTAAAATTTCTTAAAAAAATTAAAAAAAAAGAATTCGTCACTAACATCATCAGCTGTGCAATGAGCACAAACACCTGAAACATAGCAAAAGGGGAGGTTGCCATTAAAGGCTGATGAGCGATGCTGTAAGACATCGAGCGCAAAGGGAAGCCTTGATGCCTAGACCAGATAACAATTAGGGATGAAGAGTGCTCCCCACCTGAGGATCCAGCCAGCCCCCTTAGTGGCAAGTGGGTCCTGCCCTCTGATGGCCACCGGCAGCAACACCCTTGACCAACCTTGGTCGCTTCCTCAGGCCTGCAGTGATGCTCAGCACCTGTGACAAGTACCACAGCATCTGTTCAATCACCAGGCACTACAGGAAGGAAGGTTTTCAAAGGACTGCAGATTGTAGAACAGTCGAGGGAGAGCAGGGTGAGAAAAATATTACTTTGTTATTGTTTTCTTCTTATTTTTGCCCTGGGCTGGCTTATTCCAGGGAACTGTGGATTGCAATAACTTCAGACTCAACCTCCAAAATATCTCCAGCCTCCATCCCTTCTATTTCCTTCTCCATAGCACCACTCAAGCCTTCCTCAGCTCTCAGCTGGACTGGGCAGTGGTGTCCAGACTTGTCTGACTGCCTTCAGCCTCTCCTATTTCTAACCCATTGAACGCACCTTCACCAGGTTACCCTCCTGACTAATCAACACCATCGTGTCACTGCAAGATAAAATGTCGTACAAACCACTCACTACCTCCCTGTTAATCTGGTCCCGGCCCACCTCCCCAGCCTTGAGGTCTGATCCTGCAGCCTCCTTCCCTATGCCCAGTATCCTACCTTTGGTCTCTGCTTCTTCCCTATCTGGATCAGTTATGATCCTACCACTTCTTCCAGGTTCATCTCAAAGATCACCTTCTCCATGCAGCCCTTCGTGATTACTCACCATCACCCTGTTCTCACCCACCCGAGTCCCCACAGCACATTGCTTGCACCGCTCCCTTCTGACAAGCCCTTAGGAAGCATTTCCTCCTGCCAGACAAGGATGAATAGACATGACCTTGAAGAGCTTGTAACTAGGAAGGGAGATAGACACTTCAGATGACTTGTAGGACACCCCGGTAACTGATGCATCAGCACTGAAACATACTTTTGCTGAACACTTGATAACACTCTCAGGGGAATGGCAAATTCAGTCTGGCCCCCAGTTATGTATGTATCTCCCACACCTCCTACCTCCAGTCTACTGCAGTTGGTAGGGAGTGGGTCTTACCCAATGGCAGTAATTCACACAGTGTCGGGCACACAGATTTCTTTTTCATTCAAACAAATTTCAACTTGAATAGAAGGAACAGAAAGGCCTGTTCATCTCCAATCCACATCCCTCTGTCATCTGCCTTCGCCTTGCCCTCTAAGCAGTAGAACCGCAGGACTTGATCATTTACAGGGGCACTGAGCAGCCCCAACCCCCAAGTACATCCCTGTCTGGGTTTGGACAAGCTTTCTCTAAGTGTCAAAATCTATACCGGAAACTGTTTGTCCCCAAGCCCCAATATCTTCACGGTCCTTGAAATAGGGACAAGGAGTGAAAAATAAAACATAGGAAACAGGGAACAAAAATAGGTGATTACATTAGAGACAGGACATTTAAATTGCACAGTTTGGGCATTAAGTTAAATGGGAAGATAATAGCATATAAAAAGCAAGCATGTGGGGCGCCTGGGTGGCTCAGTCGTTAAGTGTCTGCCTTCGGCTCAGGTCATGATCCCAGGGTCCTGGGATCGAGCGCCGCATCGGGCTCCCTGCTCGGCGGGAAGCCTGCTTCTCCCTCTCCCTACCGCTCCCCCTGCTTGTGTTCCCTCTCTCGCTGTGTCTCTCTCTGTCAAATAAATAAATAAAATCTTAAAAAAAAAAAAAAAGCAAGCATGTGGATCACTAGGTCACCATAAGTGTAAAATGTGCTTAAAATGGATAGTAATATGAGTACAATTTTGTGCCATCACTTGGGCAATGTGTTTAACATCATTTTCCTTATTACTAAATTTTGGTTGATTACTATACATCTACATTTCGCTTTCATAAAATCATTTTAGCCTTTACTGGTTTGCTTACTCCACTCTCTAAAACAAAGATCCACATGGATGCTTCCAGGGGCTTTTGGAAACCCCTGAAATCATATCCAATCTTTTGAGTACATAAACACATCTGCATTTTTCTGAGAACAGTCTAGAAACTTCATCTGATTCTTTAAGAAGCCTAAGCAAGATTAGGAACTACTAAAGGGGGCAGCCTGGGTGGCTCAGTCGGTTAAGCGTCTGCCTTCAGCTCAGGTCATGATCTCCAGGTCCTGGGATCAAGCCCCATGTCGGGCTCCCTGCTCAGCAGGGAATCTGCTTCTCTCTCTCTCCCTCTGCTCCTCCCCCCTGCTTGTTCTCTCTCTCTCTCTCAAATAAATAAATACAATCTTTTAAAAAAACTGCAAAAGAATGGGCTTATCATTGTAAACCAAATGTTTAATATGCTACCACATATATTATCATTTCTTTGACATTGTAACACTGCCTAAATGATTACTTTTCCTTTTCAAAATTAGCACCTTTGGGGCGCCTGGCTGGCTCAGTCGTTAGGCGTCTGTCTTCGGCTCAGGTCATGGTCCCGGGGTCCCGGGATCGAGCCCCGCATCGGGCTC